TCCTCAACTCCATAAAATGTTCAGGAATGCCAAACCATAAAATAACCCTAAAAGTCGGAGTCCCAATAATGCTTCTTCGAAATCTTGATCAACCAGGAGGATTATATAATGGTACAAGGCTACAAGTCAATGATTTGGGACAACGGATTATTCAGGCGACAATCATATTAGGAGCTAATAGTGGGAAAAAAGCTTTCATTCCACGTATGGACATTAGTCCCAGTGATGAGAGGATGCCAATTAAACTAAAGAGGAGGCAATTTCCAGTAGTTGCATGCTTTGCTATGACAATCAATAAGAGTCAAGGACAGTCACTTTCTGAAGTCGGGTTGTTTTTGCGTCGTCCAGTTTTTACTCAAGGGCAACTGTATGCCGTTTTTTCAATAGTAAAATCAAGAGAAGGTCTTAAAATCCTTATTTGTACCAAGGATGGGGAATTCCACAATCGGACAACAAATGTGGTTTACAAAGAAGTCTTGGAAAATATATAATTCCTGATTTGAAGCTTTTTATAATTTTTGACTATTTCCGATACATTTTATATTAATGCCACGAATGATTTATATTGGCGTATGGCACGAATGTTTTATATTTTTATATTCTTTTACTTGTATCTAGTTATCTTAATTATATGCAAAACTATCATTTATTATACAATTTCTTTTATATTTTTATATGTTTAATTTAAGTCCTGTTATTTAACGTAAAAAACGAAGGAAAATGTTATTCTACTATGCTCACCGTGCAACGCACGGGTAAAATACTAGTTATAAAGATGTAAATCAAATTATCAACAAATCCGTTCCTCCTCTTCACAAAAAAAAATAATAAAAATAAAAAATTCAAGTTACAAATCCGATCCCATCACCAAAATGACCAAATTACCCCCGAATAGAAGGAGTAGTAGTATTACCTTTGGTGAAGGAGATTGGACTGGATAGTTATGTCTTTTTACTAGTTTATAAGAGTCAAGGTGAAATTACCTTTGGAAAAAAACAACAGTCAAGAATTTAACGATAAAAAAAAAAACCCAAGTAAAAAATTAGAGTCTTCTTCGCCCAAACTCCTCCGAAACGGCGTGAAACACCACCTCATCACTCATCCTCCATTTTCAAACCGCCCAAACTTCCACCACCTTTTAATCCCATGCGTTGACAACAGACCATTTGAATTATTTGAAGGGGAAAAGGAGAACACGGGGAGCTTTGAGAAAGAAAAGGAACAGAGAGCTTATAGCTATCAATTTGGGGATTCAATTCAAAGAGGGAACATAGTTTAAATCTTCCGTTCATCGAGGTAATATGCTAATCTCCTTCTAGTGAGTTAAATTCAAAATTCTTAGATTAATGGTAAAAAGAATTCTGGAAGAGTAGCTCCTCTTTTGCTTCTATCTTCATTAATTTTTCCGATTGCATGTGGAACCCTTGCCTGATTAAGTGGTTTTGTTAAAAATTTTTTAAAAAAGATGATAGAATAGGGAGTCTGCATGCTAAAATTCCTCCTTGATTCTTAGTTGGTATTAGTTTTCAATTCGAAAAAAAAAGGGAAGAGAAAGGGGTCGTAGGTTCAGAGAGGCAAAGGCTCATGTCACTATTATATAATTTTAAAGAGGATAATGAGGTTTCATAATCTCCTAGTGCCGTATGCATGGTTATGTTCGGTAAACTACTTAATTGAATCCCCATAATGCTGGCTGAACTTAGGAAAAGGCAAGAACTAGCTTTTGAAAGTTATTTTGCTCCATCTTAGCTTTTCTGGACCTTTAGAGATTCGATAAGCTTAAAATTTAGTTGAGTAGGTCTATGTTTGTCTAATTTTGTAGCTAAACTAATTACTTTCACATCATCACAGTAATCTGACCTTTTAGACTTGTAGCAGCAATAAGAGGGAACCTTATAATCTGAGTTTACAGAGCTATAGTGGAATAATAGGGAGCCTTATAATTTGAGATACTAATTTGAGGCTATAGATTGCCGAAAAACTGGATTTGAATTTGACAGATCGAATCTGAAATTTTTAACTATACTGAAGCTTTAACATCCTGTTTTGTTAAGCATTTTCCTCTTGAAGTTTGAACATGTTTTTATTGAAATCATTACGGGAAATTCATCTTAGATTTTTTTTTGCCCCTTTTGTTTGTCAATGATAGGTCAACATGAAGACTGTTACGCTGAATGAGCATTCTGCAATGTTAAATGGTTTCATTGTTCGACTTGATGTTAGACAATTTTTACATGGGAGTGGCTTTGTGAACCTCCTCAAATTGGCAAATCATCAGTTTTTTCATTGTAAACCCTTAATTTCTGTTTTGGTTGATTGTTACGATACCAAAACATTTACCTTTAAGTTAGGGAATAGCTATTGTGAATTATATTTTGGTTTAAGGGATATTTTATACATTACTGGTTTGAGGATAGTGGGTAAACCTGTAGTGACAATAGAAGAACGTGGAGAAGATATTGCAAAAATTCTATTTCCTAACATAGAAGGGGTTTATGAAAAGAAGGGTTTTGTGTTAGAAAAGTTTAAAGAACTTGCTATGAGTGATCAACCTTTTGTAATTAGAGTAAGGGCTACAGTTTTACTTTTGTTGGGAACTCTTGTTTTCCCGAACTCTAGCCCAAAACATAAAAAAGGGTTGTATGGAAAATTTTTGATAAACCTTTATGAGATAAATGATTATGCTTGGGGAGAAGCGTTGATAGCAATCTCGCAAATGAAGAAAATTTTGTTAATGCAACCATCAAGCAAGAAAGTACGAAGATAATTTGTCTATCCCGTGAAACTAAAAAGAGTGCGGAAAATTCACAGTAAGACGATCATTTATCTAAGTGATTTCTATCTCTTAACTCAAATCAAGCAAAGAACAAATTATCCATGAAAGATTCGAATTAAACAACAGCCCACACTAAGAATAGCAAGGAAACCATTCAATATACTCGATCAGTCATCATTCAAGAAACTCAAGAAAGGTAGGAGCAAACAATGCTCAACTATGAAGGAATACTATTGATTAGTAATCTCCATAACCAACAAAGATTTGCACCACATACACTATCTCAAAATGCTTATGCCAAAGCAAAACTCATCCAACAAAAGTAGGACAAACCCCACAATGGAACTCATGAACACACACATCATGAATTCGAGCACCAAGCCAAAAGAAAGGCTCATCAATCGAACTACTAGAAGTAGTATGAAAATAAGAAGTTTTGTTTTAAAACAATTCTATCAAGAAGCATACTTGAAAAAGAACGGTTTCTGCAAGATCAAAAGATCCAAGACAAGACGAAAAACCTTCCTGGTTAAATCATACGTGACACGAAAAATGGACACTCCATTTAACAAAAATTCCTCATAGGAAAAACTCTCAAAAGAGACAACAAAAATGACCACTCAAGGGTGCTTTTGATTTTCAGCCATGCCCCCTATTTATAGGCTTAAATTTTCGGCCAGCACTAAGAAAAGAAGATCAATTAGGACTCTCTAATCTTATCTCGCAAGGAGTAGAAGTAGAAGAGTATTTGATCTCTTTGACTCTATATAAAATCTAAGAAACCTTATCTAAGTGACTTATCCTCAAGTAGGATAATATCTAGAAGGAATCTAAGGCTCCTAATCAAAACACTCTAGTTTTATTCAGCCCACATGGCTTATCTAACTAGATAAAACTCGAAAATAACTCCTAGACTTAGACAAACTCTAAAATCCGAAATTCATCTCCCAAATTATTGAAGTAAAATCTCTTGAACGCCCTTCCAAAAGTGAAATATTGGTCTTGCGCCCCTTTAGTTGTAGAAAACTCCAATTTACTCCAAAACTTGTAGAATTCTCTTTATTGACTCCAAAGGATTGGAAAAACACTTGAAACAATTAAGATAGTTTGCAACCTATCCAATTGTGTAGCAATGGACTCAATCTTGAACACTTTGATCAAATAGGTCATCCATTCAAGAACCTAAATGACTCTTCTCACTAACTTGATCAATGATCTTCATGGAGCACATAGAGTCAAACTCCCTTGATACTCTTGAGCACTTATTTCCATGAGGTCATCATCTCCTTTGGTTTTAACCCCAAAGTTAATGACATTCTCATCATCTTGATAATAGCTCTCTTGAACCAACTCCCTATCACATAGGTAGTAAAGATCCATCATTTCTTCCTTGATTGGCCTGCAAAGTAAACTTGGCATTCCAAAACTAGAATGAAGGACTAGCTCATTCCCCTCACTAGGAGAATCACCATGGAAGGCTACATGATTCTCATCAAGCGTGTCTTGTGGAAATACATCAGAGTTTGCGGGTTTGTAAAGAAAAGAGTCAACAAAGAATTGGTGGGGCGATGTCGGCCTGACGGTATATATTATTATTATTATTATTATTATTATTATTATTATCATTATTATTATTATTATTATTATTATTATTATTATTATTATTTCTGGATTGATGATTAACTTCTAGTTTTGTTTTTGGCATTTATTCTTCTTTTAGGTTTTTGCTTTGGAACATTTACCCAGTTTGAGGAATTTTTTCGATTTATGTGAACACCCGAAAGAATTTCCATTGATTATTGGATGGGCTGAAATATTATGGAAGACGACGCACAAAACTCGCAGTGACATTACAACAGAACTTATCCAACAATGTATCAATGGGTTTACCTGCTTTAAGTTTTGCTCACCATATTACTTCCATTTTGTGTAGTTTTATAATACATGGTAGTTTGTTTTCTCAATATTGTTTCCCCTAAAGTTATTATCAGTATATTAGATGCTGCTTTCTCCTACCACATTTATTCCTCGAATATTTGTTGTTTAAGTTTCTTTCTAGTAGACTACTTTTATTTGAAAAGTTGTTTCATGCATAATACCTATTATTTAATTTTTGTAGGAGAATATTGTTTGGATGCCCTATTCAAGTACTATGCCATGCTATTTCAAGTATCAAATGCATAGGGAACTAGCCATTGTCCCTTTGTTCTGTATTGAAAACCACATGTATCATCTCTCATACAATGGAAAGGTTCAACTTCATATTGATGAAAATGTGAGTAGGGATATGAAAATTCTATATCAAACCCGAGTGAAGAGTTCATATAGAAAATTTGTTCGTGCTCCAGCTCCAAGAGGTAATGGGAGAAAAGATTATTTTAAAATTTGGAGACAAAAATTGGGAAATGATGTATTTGATCAGCGAATGCAAATAAATGACCAAAAGTGGATTAGAGTTGATGATGAGGATGTGATGGAGAATAACGTGTCAGGTTTTAAGAGTCATAGGGATGTGCATGGAATGAATAACTGGGAAAAACTTGATTTGATGCCGGCTAATTTGGCTAGAGATGTTGAAAAACAGTTTCAAAAGAAGTTATTGATTCTTGATTTGAATGGAATTCTCGTTCATGTGGTGCATAAAGAGAGTGTTCTGGGCCTAAATTTGCATACAAAATGTGACTATGTAATGATGCATTCTTATGGTACGATTATTCTACTTTGTGTAATTGAATATCATATCTAACTCAAAACAATTTTTCTTACTTATCTACTATATTTTTTATTTCAGTTTTCAAGAGAAAATACAGTGATGAATTCCTTGAATTTTGCTTCGAACGATTTCATGTTGCCATATGGTCATCAAGAAAGTGGTATGATTTAAAAGTATACTTGTTTTTTATATCCATGTAAACTCAATATCTCAAAACTTTGATTTTCTGCTACTTTGTTTGCAGGGATAATCTAGATTCTATTTTGCAAAATCTATTCCCAAGTGCTCGTGATAGATTCATTTGTAGATATGTAAGTTTGTATTATTGGGAAAGTTTTGAATTTTACACAAGCTTTAAAATAGTAAGTTTAAATAAATTATTCATAAAAAAGCATGTATGTGGTGAAGAACACGTATTCGTAGATTAGAATAATTTTATACTAGCCTCACTCTTTCTTCATAGTTCTGAATGGTTATGTTTTTTATTGTCTACAGAGTCAAGAACAATGTCATAAAGTAAACCAAGTTTTTTGTAAAGATTTGACTCGTATTTGGGTAGATTTACGGGCAATGAAATTTGGGGAATTTGATGAGAGCAATACTTTACTTGTGGACGATTCCGTCGAAAAAAGCGTGAGAAATCTTGTAGGTATTTTTTTCTTTTTACTATCTAACCTATTTTTTTCCGTGTAACTATTATTTTTAACACGTCGTGTTTCTTTATGATATTTTATGGGTTGGAAATGTAATACTTCCAATTACATTTAATTATATAAACAAGGAATTTGATAAACGTTTAGGTGAGATGTACAAAGTTTTATAACTTGTTTCTTTGTAATTATTTATTTAATAATATTTTCACACAATTCCAATTTTAAACAGCTATACACGGCGATTTATGCTCATATCTAAACCAAGTAGCTAAGGCAAAAGATGTTGTAACATTTGTGCGTGAAATTCCATTTGTCGAGGAACCACAGTGGCAGGTTTGTTATGTGAATCTTTTGTTGCCATCATACTCATCCAACACTCTATATGATGTGGGCTAGTTACAGTGCCTTGTAATATATGTGTTCATTTATTCTTATTCCTCATTTATTATATTTGCTTTGCAGCAAAGGAAAATGAGAATCAGAAATTGAATGCATTGAAATGGAGTTTGACTAACCTGTGCTGAAGATTCCTTTGAGCTTCAGTTAGGTTTGAGGTATTGAAACTGACTCTTTTAATTCTCGGATGGCTTTTCATTTATATCCAGGCTGAATTTAATTGTCTGAGAAAATGACATAGGTTGTGCTATTACCTTGAACTACCATGTCTGCACATAACTCGGGGATCTGAGTTTTTCCTGTTTATAGGATAAGTATTGGATTGTAAAGTGCCAATACATTTCAAGTTCTCTTCTGATTACTTTTTCTCACTTTTTGTTAATGTTTCTCTCTTTGAAGATTCATCATTTTTCTGTACTTTAGTTATTATTATATGAACACAGAGTTTCAGGGTAAAGATTTCAATCTGATGCGAGATTTGTTTGAAGTTTTAACTACTTTCATGGAATAGACTTGTAGAAAGAAGTGAAATATAGTGATTTTTACCGTTAATCTTGCTTATGTAGTTAAAACTGTGTATAAACAGATTACAGCTAGCTGTTCTTGGACTTGTAATGTGATGGCAGCCATATTTAGAGGAAGTGATCTGTTTGGTTTTCTATGACATGGTCAAAGTTCCTGCAATTTGTTTCTTTCAGTCTGGAACTTGTATTCAGTGTTGTGGATTTAGCTTAGATACTACTATAAAGCATTTTTTTGTAGGGAAATAAATTTCAGATATGCTGAAATTTTTGCCTCTAATGTCTTAATTTGGCTGGCATTGTTTTTGTTTCCTTTCCAGTTGTGGATATTTGGTTTTTTTACACTCACTTTCTGTGAGAGTTGACAATGGAGAAAGCGAGATGGCATTTACACATCTACTTGCGACTTCATCCACAACTTCTTCGTCTGTGAAGATTGCCGGAACTACTTACGATTGAAAGATTGAATGGGATGAGGATGAGGTTTTCAAGTTCTTGGTCAATACCCAAGGATAAAGAAGAACTTCTCAATGATGTGAGTAACAAAGTTTTGGTGAAGGATGTGATAGCTACATGAAGTCGATCAAAACACCCTCTCCAATTGTACTCACTTTTACATAGAGCAGTTTGTATATTGATAATATCGAATAAGAAGAAACACGGTGATAGCAATCTCGTAGACGAAGCAAATTTCGTTAATGCAACCATCAACAAGAAAGTACGAAGATAATTTTGTCTATCCCGTGAAACTCAAAAGAGTGCGGAAAATTCACAGTAAGACGATCGTTTATCTAAGTGATTCTATCTCTTAACTCAAACCAAGCAAAGAACACATTATCCATGAAAGATTCGAATTAAACAACAACCCACGCTAAGAATAGCAAGGACACCATTCAATATACTCGATCAGTCATTAATCAAGAGACTGAAGAAAGGTAGGAGCAAACAATGCCCAACTATGAAGGAATACTATTAATTAGTAATCTTCATAACCAACCAAAGATATGCAACACATACACTATCTCAAAATGCTTATGCCAAAGCACAACTCATCCCAACAAAAGTAGGACAAACCCCACAATGGATCTCATGAACACACTCATCATGAAATTCGAACACCAAGCCAAAGGAAAGGCTCATCAATCGAACTACTAGAAGTAGTATGAAAATAAGAAGTTTTGTTTTAAAACAATTCTATCAAGAAGCATACTTGAAAAAGAATGGTTTCTGCAAGATCAAAAAGATCCAAGACAAGATGAAAACCCTCTTGGTTTAAACATACTTGACACGAAAAATGGACACTCCATTTAACAAAAATTCCTCACAGGAAAAACTCTCAAAAGAGACAACAAAAATGACCACTCAAGGGTCCTTCTAAAATTTGGCCAAGCCTCCTTTATATAGGCTTGAATTTTCGGCCAGCACCACTAAAAAGAAGACCAATTAGGACTCTCTAATCTTATCTCACAAGGAGTAAAAGTAGAAGAGTACTTGATCTCTTTGACTCTATCTAAAATCTAGGAAACCTTATCTAAATGACTTATCCTCAAGTAGGATAATATCTAGAAGGAATCTAAGACTCCTAATCAAAACACTCTAGCTTAATTCAGTCCACATGACTTATTTAACTAGATAAAAATTCGAAAATAACTCCTAGACTTAGACAATGACTCTAATCTCGAAATTCAGCTCCAAATTATTGAAGTAAAATGTCTTGAACGCCCTTCCAAAAGTGGAATATTGGTCTTGCGCCCCTCAAGTTGTAGAAACCTCCAATTTACTCCAAAACTTGTAGAATTCTCTTTATTGACTCCAAAAGATTGGAAAAACACTTGAAACAATTAAGATAGTTTGCAACCTATCCAATTGTGTAGCAATGGACTCAATCTTGAACACTTTAATCAAATAGGCCGTCCACTCAAGAACCTAAATGACTCTTCTCACTAGCTTTGATCAATGATCTTCATGGAGCACACAGAGTCAAACTCTCTTGATACTCTTCAGCACTTATTTCCATGAGGTCTTCATCTCCTTTGGTTTGCACCCCAAAGTTAATGACATTCTCATCACCTTGATCATAGCTCTCTTGAACCAACTCCCTATCACATAGGTAGTCGAGATCCATCCTTTCTTCCTTGATTGGCCTGCAAAGTAAACTCGGCATTCCAAATCTAGAATGAAGGACTAACTCATTCCCCTCACTAGGAGAACCTCCATGGAAGGCTACATGATTCTCATCACACGGAATTGAACTAATTCTAGATATGATTTCACATTCAATAAATATTTGGATGAACCTCTTTTAATTCCCCAATAACGAGTCAATACTGAAAGAACCCAAACAATAAAACAACAAAAGTCAATTTGGATCAAAATAGTGAGTCAAGAATCTGGTGCTCCCACTCGAGAAGAGAACATTAGTAAAAAGTGTCGATTACTCGCACAAATTCTGTAATTTATACATTAATGCTACATTGATGAGCACAAATTCTGGCAATCCTACCCCCTTATTTCAATCTTGTCCTCAAGATTATTACAAAATGATACTGGAACAATTGATAACAGTAGTCTAATGCCTTATTCCTAACAACAGCTAAACCTGAGACTATCATAGAATGCAACAGTAAACAGTAGAAATGAAAACAGGGACAACTACATCAAAATTGAATGAACTTGAAAGAAAGTCTTCACTGCTTGGCATCAATCCAATCTGAAAACAGCAACTGCAAGTTGATCTTCCTGGAAACTAAAACAGCCACCAAAGCTTGATCATCGCATCTGAATAGACATTCAGACAGAGTACTTCCCGTTGATATACTTCGCCAAGCAATCATTCAAACAAAATATGACTGGTCAAGTGATATTAAGTGTGTCCTATAGCCTTCGACAACTAGGGTACCCCCTCTGAAACACGTAGCCAACTGAACCCAAACCCTCAGTCTCAAAAGCATCATTCTACCTCTAAAAACAGTGGCAACCAATGGCTAGTAAACATATGCCCTATTTGTATTCTCTTGCAACATTCCAGTTCCCTTCAACACAGTTACCAAGCTTCCTTTATCCAACAGGGCACCAAATTCAACTTCACGAAGGTCATCAACTAGAGTCGAACTCAATTCATCAACTAACAGCTTAACTATAGCACTACTTTCATTTTTTGTGGTGCCACCTTTAAAACAGAAACCAGCTCAGGCCAACACTGAAGTCTTCTTTTAGCAGAAGAGACGGTTCCTCCACTAAAACAGGTCACCAGTTTATCCCATGACCTAATCAGATTTCTCAGTTCAACACTATACATGCTATTAACACTGCCTTCCTTCTCAATCAAATAATCAGAACCATATAGAGGATCTTCTAACAGGCTCCTTGTTTATCAAGAGATGCCACAACAATATCAACAACATTGATATCAACTTCGGAAATTGTTCCACACTTATCAATAACAACTGAACCCAACATCAATTTCACCTTGACTTTCACCATCATTCAATTTCTACAGGCATAATCTGATTCACATTCACTATTATTACTCTCTTCAACAGTAAAAGTATCAAGAAAAGACATATCATCATCGTATTCTTCAAAATCACCATCTAATATAGCAAAATCATCATCAGAATCTTCATCAAAACTGGGAAATGAATTGTTACCTTGTTTTGTAGGATCCGAGAACCAGGATTCAGAAGAATCGATAACCAACTCCTCTGTTTCATGAACGGCAAACTGACAAAAAAATTCCTCATAGAAATCGTGCCAAGCTAACTGTTCTTCCTTTGCCATAAGATCTTGATACCAATTGTCACAATCCGGTGACGGAAATGGAGGAATCCGACGAAGGGAAAGGACGGGACAAGCCCTGAATTGGGGAAAACCCACACAATTATGAAAATACCAATTTCAATATTCAACTATTCGATAATCATTTTACAGACCCTCAGGACTATATATAGTCCCACCAATTTCTAAAACTACAAACAGGCCCCTATACTATCGACAAGTCCTAACTAGACCCGAGGTCATGACATAGCATGAGTCCAGGACCTGGACTTCAGTATTATAATACATTTACTAAGGGATATTTATGTCTTTTTTGGCAATAAGACATGAGTCCAGGACCTGGACTTCAGTAGTATAATACATTTACTAAGGGATATTTATGTCTTTTTGGGCAATAAGACATGAGTCCGGACCTGGACTTCAGTATTATAATACATTTACTAAGGGATATTTATGTCTTTTTCTTGACTGTTGGTATGATGTTTTGTCAAGTCTATAATTTTGAGTTGGCCATTTCTTTTTGAGAAGAATTTTAAGTTGGCCTTTTGTGAAACTATTACGTTTTTTGTTTTTTCTGAAAAGAAACGTCAAAAAAGACATATGACTTGATCACTTAATATCTTTACAAATTAATTAAAAAGTTCTATTTTACTTATAATTAAATAGATCAATCACTCATTTTCCTAAATTTTCATTTTGGGTTTACGTCGATAATGAAAAAAGTCGTTGTTTAAAGGTTTTACGGAATGTAAACATAGAGTTTAAGTAAATATATGTTAATTTGAAAATCACAATCAAGAAAAAAATATTGAAATAATTATTATTTAAAT